AGGTTTGGGAAGGATTAGTTTCTTGAGTTCCCTGTATATACTGGATATTAACCCCTTGTCTGGTATATTGCTGTTGGTAAATATTTTTTCCCAATTAGTTGGTTGTATGTAGTGCCTTTAAAAATTGTCAGATAAAGTGTTTTGTGTTTTCACAGTTTGGGCCCAAAATTATTTTTTGTTGTTGTGGGTTGTGGAGCTTGAACTCTGGGCCTGAGCGCTGTCCCTCAGCCCTTCAGCTCAAGGCAAGCACTCTACCACTTGAGCTACAGTGCCACTTCCGGTTTTCTGGTGGCTTATTGGAGATGAGTTTCACGGACATTCCTGCCTGGGCTGGCTTTGAACCGGGATCCTGCCCGGCTTTGAGGGGTGTTTCTATGTATAATTTTAAAAATAAAGCTGCTAGGTGGGTGCAGGTGGCTCACACCTGTAATCCTAGCTACTCAGGATGCGGAGATCTAAGACACATTTCAAAGCAAGCCTGGGCAGAAAGTCCCTGAGACTCTATCTACAATTAACCACCAGAAAACTGTAAGTGGAGCTTGTGGCTCAAAGTGGTAAAGTGAGCAAAAGAGCTCAGGGACAGTGCCCAGGCCGAGTTCAAGCCCCATGACTGACAAACAAAATACAGCTGCTTAATAGGTCATCAAAGCTGTTGGCAGTCTCTTACCTCATGTGAACCTAAATGTTTTTTTTTGTTTTTTTTTTTTGGGGGGGGGGTCCGGTCATGAGGCCTGAACTCTGGCCTGGGCGCTGTCCCTCAGCTCTTCAGCTCAAGGCTAGCGCTCTACCACTTGAGCCACAGCACCACTTCTGGCTTTTTTCTTTTTGCTTATGTGGTACTGAGGAATCGAACCCAGGGCCTCAGGCATGCAAGGCAAGAGCTCTACCACTGAGCCACCTTCCCAGCCCAGAACCTAAATGTTCTTAACTCTTGTATATATCCACTCTGTCCCTTGTTGGAATAAATGGCATTTTTGTGTACTTCATCTTTTTACTTTTAGATGTTTCTCAAATAAGACTGTAAACTTTTTAAATGAAGCTCAGCCAGTTTCCAGCAACCTATGAAATGTTCCCTTTATTTACTGTAAAGATATTTCCAAATGTCTATCACTATCAGAGACGGTCAATCGATGTGCCTGATTTTTCCTTTGTCCCAAAAGGAACTGTGGTATGGGGTGATGTCTCCCTCCTGTTACGTGTCCTCTGTCTTCTTATGTTGACGCTCGTTTGGAAACATGTTCTTTTCTTGGTAGCAAAGACACATCATGGCCAAGACCCTTTCATCACGTAACACATAACCAACTGATCACACAGCCTTTCTGTATTCTCCCGACTAGGAGCATCTTAAATCCTGTGAGCCGATTGACTTGGCTAGTTTTCCGTGGGTGACTGCTCAGTGCAGCAAGCTGATGCGCTGAGGGATGGGTGCAGGTCTGGGCCACAGGTGTGAAGTCAGTCCAGGCAAAAGCATGAGACCCTATCTGAAAAAGTAAGTTCCAAAGGCTGGGGGCATGGCTCAGGTGACAGACTGCCCCAGGCTCCAAGTTCAAGGACCAGACTGGGCATCACAAGCACACTCAGTCTATTTTTTTTTGGTTGGTCATGGGGCTTGAACTCTGGGCCTGGGCGCTGTCCCTCAGCTCTTCAGCTCAAGGCAAGCGCTCTACCACTTGAGCTACAGCGCCACTTCTGGTTTTCTGGTGGTTTATTGGAGATAGGAGTCTCACAGTCTCTCCTGCCCGGGCTGGCTTTGAACTGCAATCCTCAGATCTCAGCCTCCTGAGTAGCTAGGATTACAGGCGTGAGCCACCAGCGCCCAGCTCACACTCAGTCTATTAACAAAGAGAACAGGCTCATAAATACATGATCGGAATTATAAATACACCAAGTGTTCTGCACATAATGTCATGAAACATTACTAGAAACATCAGGATAATACATATCAAGCCAAGTGCTGGTGGATCACAAATCCTACCTACTCAGGAGGCTGAGACCTGAGGATCAAGGCTCAAAGCCAGCACAGGCAGTGAAGTCTGCAAGAATTTTATGTCCATTTAACTAGCAAAAAGCTAAAAGTGGAGGTGTGGCTCAAGTGGTAATGCACTAGCCTTGAGCAAAACAGCAGGGACAGAACCCAGGCCCTGAGTTCAAGTCCTCGTACAGGCAAATAGTAACATATAACTTCAATATCCCCTACTCCAAATGAAAAGGAGTAAAATCAAGACAGCATCTGCACTTTAAGTGGATGTAGACTGCCACAGAATATTCCAGCAGTCGCTGGAACTTAACTGTAACTTTGACCAAATGAATGAAGATGATGGGACGTTTTGGTTGTTTTTTTTTTGCCAGTGATGGGACTTGAACTCAGGGCCTGGGTACTTCCTGAGCTTCATTTTGCTCAAGGCTAATACTCTACCACTTGAGTCAGCACAGCTTCTGCCTTTTGCTGTGTATGTGGTGCTGAGTCACACCGGCTTCATGCATGCTAGACAAGCACTCTACCACTGAGCCACATTCCCTGCTCCTGATGGGGTATCTCTAAGTATCTTTTTGACGTTATATGAAAAAACTTGATAATATGTTCGCTAATATAGTTGAAAACTGCTGGGCGCTGGTGGCTCACGCCTGTAATCCTAGCTATTCAGGAGGCTGAGATCTGAGGATCGTGGTTCAAAGCCAGCCAGCCTCGGCAAGTGGTGCTGTGGCTCAAGTGGTAGCGCTCGCCAGGATCTGAAGAGCTGAGAGAGAACACTCGGGCCCTGAGTTCAAGCCCAGCGACCGAGACACACACACACACACACATAGTTGAAAACTCCTAAGAAACCTCAGATCTCAGCCTCTCAAGTAGCTAGGATTACAGGCGTGAGCCACCAGCGCCCACCTTACAAACCCATTTGGATTTTTGGATTTCCCTTTAGTCATGTTAACATTAAACATACATGAACACCACCTATGACCTGTAGAAGCACATTTGGAATTGTACCTCGAGCAGAAAGCTGGGCGCCGGCCTGGATTTGCGCAAGGACTGCCGTCAAGCGGGTGAGTTGGAGAGGCAGTGTACCACTTCCATACCTCAGACGAGCCAGAGCAGAGAGCAGTCTATTTGGAGGAAAGGATTCAGGCGTGGGGAAGCTTGGAGAAAGTGCCATGCGGAGGTCTTCCTGCCTCACTAGAACTCCATGGCTGGAACCCCAAGCCAGCCTGTCCTGAGACCCCACCAGCTAAGCGAGAGCTGTGGGTCTCCCCTCAACCCACTGGGGATTTGGCCGTGACTCCAGCACAGTACTGCTGGCTCGTCTGGGAGCCGTGGCCAGGCGACTGTGACACCTGGGCCCACAGGCACGTGTGGACTAGACACTGCAGGGCAGGGAGCTGCGCGCGTGCGCCTGTGGGACAAGGAAGCACTGCAGACAGCGCAGTCCGCTCCATGGAGCAAGGGGCTTGGGCTGTGGGTGGCATACAGTTGCAGCTACTCCTCGTGGGTTCCTGTGGAAGCTGCCGGCCTGACCCCTGGGACTGGGATGCAGCTGCCTCCTTGCGTGTGTGAATGAGCCATGCGCAGGCGGCGGCGTCCCTCACGCCGTTCATGACCCCACATTCAGCACACAGCCTGGGCTCAGAGCTTCATATCTAAGGGGCACAAATGGGGGCCTCTGGGGTCCCCACAGATAGAAACCAGCCTGGCCAGCCAGGCACCAATGGCCCACACCTGTAATCCCAGCTACCTAGGAGGCTGAGATCTGAGGATCATGGTTTACCACAGGCAAGAAAACCCTTGAGACTTATTTCAATTAACCACCAAAAAGTTGGAAGTGCAGCTCTAACTCAAGTGATACAGCACCAGCTTGATCAAAAAGCTCAAAGGCAGAGCCCAGGCCCTGAGTTCAAGTCCCAGGAATAGTGTGCATGTACACACACACACACAAATCCCACCTAGTACAAGTGTAACCAAAGAGGTGAAAGATCTGTACAACAGAAATTATAAAGCACTAATGAAAAAACTGAAGACACGAAAATGGAAAGGCATTTTGTATTTAAACAATGAAACTCTTTTACAATATCCATACCCACAAAGCATTTTACAGCTTCAATGCAATCTCTATCAAAATGTCATTCTTTACAGAGAAAACAAAAACGAAAACCTATGTATACGGAACAAACAAAACCCTGACGTTGCCAAAACCATCTTTACACACAAGACAGGAGGTAGTACACTACAAACTCACCAGAACCAAACAGCAGAGACGCCAACAGTTCCGCACAGGAGCAGCCAACCCACACCCAGCAGCGACTTTTCCTCCCGAGGTCAGTGAGAACCCACGCACTGGAGACACCTGATCAACTGCGGACTCGGCAGTAGTGCACACCTAGAGTCCCGGCACTGCGGCGCTGAGGCGGACAGACAGATGGTGGGGTGGAACTCCGCCCGGGCTCAGCAGCACACAGCGTTCAAAGTTTGAGGCAATCCTTCCTTTAAAGGTTACATAACTTATCCTTGGATGGGACATCAGTGCATAAGATGCTAGTTGCACTCTCAGTTAAATTGTAAAAAGATCAAAACAGCAAAACATAAATTTTCAAACTAAAAAAAAAAAATCTGACTCTTCTATTTAGGTGAGCTTGCTCCTACATATAAACAGGCAATTAAGGTATTTATTCATTCTCTTGATTTCAATACTTTGGTCTTAACAGAAATTAACTAATAGGGCACCAGGGACTTACCCCTGTAATCCTAGCTACTCATGAGGCCGACATCTGAGGATCACACTGTTTAAAGCCAGCCCAGGCAGGAAAAGTCTATGAGACTCAATCTCCAATTAAGCACAAAAGAAGAGATGGAAGTAGGGCTGTGGCTCAAGTGGTAACGCCCCAGCCTTGAGCAAAAAACTCAAAGCAACACCCCTGCCCCCGGTTCAGGCACCAGAGCCAGCACGCACGCATGCACGCACGCACGCACGCACGCACAAAGTAGTTAATACTTAATACATTCTCCATTTTTGCTGAAATAATGCTTTGCTAAACTGTCTCCAAGATGAATTATATGAATTTGGCCAAGAAATGTAAAGGTCAAAGGGTTAATATACAGGAAGTAGTTACAATGCCTATTTGTGCATCTTTCTTCTGCTTTTAAACTATCCCATAACACCAGTAAGTTTTCTCTCTTCACATTATGGTCTGTAGTCATCTGATTTTGCACGGCCCTTGAACAATTATAGAGAAAAATTTTCAGTAGATCTTCATTTCAAAAACCTATATACAACTGTTTTCATCGTTCTATTTTCCATTTAGTCAAAACATTTTATCAAGGGCCAAATTAAAAAAAAAATCTAGAAACCTAACATTTGTTATTCTGCAAGGTATTCAAGACACTTAGGCACCTTTTTTTTTTTTTTTTTAACATTTATGAGACTCTTTGGAGACAATGCCTATTAAAAAGTGAAAAATAGAAAATCTGGTTAAAATGTCATTTGCTGCCTAAAAAGACATAATATATACATAAATACATAAACACACATCCAACCAGCCAGTAGGAGAATTGCAATTAATAATCCTTTCCTCGGTCGCCACTATCAATTATTTTTAAATGTACATTTAAACCTTCTTTCTGGTTTATTACAAATAAATACACTTCCATTCTTTAAGGATCCAACATACTTCAAGAGAAAAATCTTATTAAGAGACATTACTTCATAAACTCGCTGTTGCATGAAGAAAAGTTAGGTCAACATTTAATTTCAAGGACAAAATTTTAAATTCCACTGTGGTGTTAATCCGGCAGCTCAGGAAACTAAAACTACAAGAGGCCGCGGTCGAGTTAAAGGGGCATGGAGAGACATGCTGACACTCGCAGTGTTCCCTCCCGGTTCTGTCACTTCTCAGAAGCCTCGCTCCTTGGCATGAGACAGCCCCTGTGGCCTGGCCTGGAATCCTAGCTGCTCAGGAGGCTGAGATCTGAGAAAAGTCCTTCAAGTCAACCCCAGGAGAACAAACCCGAGATGCTCATCCTCCACTTACACAGTGAAAAGCCAAAACTGAAAAGATTAGCTCAAGAGGTAGAGTGCCAGTACTACATAAGCTCTTAAACAGCCTCGCGTTGAATGACCCTTGTATTACGTCACTGGCACGGCGTTTCGAGCTCAGGGCCAGCTTTTGGCTGGGACTCTCCGGCCCGGGCTGGTCTGGAGGCCCAGCCCCGAGTCAGCCTGAGTAGCTAGGATGACGGCCACCGGCATCTGCCAATGATCCTGCCGTGAGACCCTGCTCATGCTTGAAGTGTTTGTGCATGTTCTTCACACCAGCGCACTGGAGGGGACAGGGACAAGGCGGTGGCGGGAGCGCGCCCACCCAGTGTCACCTCCGGTGACACGCAGGCCTCCTGGCTCAGTGGCTGTAACAAAATACCTGACACAACCAAGATCAAGGAACTAATTTATTTTTTCACGTTAAAAAAAAAAATCCAGACAGTGCCTTACTGCACGGCCCCGCCGGCTCACCTGCTCCGCTCCACGCGCCCGCCTGGGCACATCTGAGTCTTGAGTTTTCAGTCCCTGGTCTGTGGCTCCACGGACTCAGGACCCGCAGCAAGCCGAGACATGACACACAACAGGGGGGAGAGACTTGTACGGGACAAAAAGAATTAAGCAGGGACCAAGGGCCAGGGCCAAACCGGCACACCCACACCTACACACCCATAGAAGTTTCTAGAACCATGACCAGCTGCTGGAGCTCAGATTCTAACCCCACCTATAACCCAGGCTTTCTAGAACACATGCTCGTGTCTGAGCATCGCTACGGGAAGGAGGCTTTCCCACATTTCTTACGGAACTTTCCCACGGTGACTGCATGGCCGAGCTGGCTCTCCTGCCCTCGTCTACCGCGAGCGCGAGTGCGCACGAGGCTTGCCCACATGCTCATGCACACCGCCCTCCCCGGCAGGCCACACGCAGGCTTTCCTGTGAGCAGGAGAAGGTTCCGGAAGGCTCACGGGCCGGCCTGCTCGGTGCTGTGTGTGCGCTCGTGGCGGCGCAGGTGGCTCTTGTGGAAGAAGTCCTTCCCGCACTGGGAGCACACGCACGGCTTGTGCTCGCTGTGTGTGCGCTCGTGGCGGCGCAGGTCCCCGAGGGAGAAGAAGGCCTTGCCGCACTGGTTGCAGGAGAAGGGCTTCTCGCCGGTGTGGATGCGGATGTGCACCTTGATGTAGCTGGCCGAGCTGAAGGCCTTGCCGCACTGCTTGCACACGAAGGGCTTCTCGCCCGTGTGCGTCTGCTCGTGCTTGCGGAAGTCGCTCCAGGCCGAGAAGGCCTTCCCGCACTGGTTGCAGATGAAGGGCCGCTCGCCGGTGTGCGTGCGCTCGTGCCGCTGAGCGTCGCTCAGGGAGAAGAAGCCCTTCCCACACTGCTTGCACACGAAGGGCTTCTCCCCTGTGTGGATCCGCTCGTGGACCTTCACGTAGCTCTTGGAGCTGAAGGCCTTCCCGCACAGCTTGCACACGAAGCTCTTCTCGGCGTTGTGCGTGAGCATGTGGCGGCGCAGGTGGCTCACGTAGAAGAAGCCGATGCCGCACTGCTTGCACACGAAGGGCTTCTCCTCCGTGTGCGTGCGCTCGTGCACCTTGATGTAGCTGGCCGAGCTGAAGCACTTGCCGCAGTACTTGCAGATGAAGGGCTTGTCGCCGCTGTGCGTCTGCTCGTGGCGCTGCACGTCCCGGGTGGAGGCGAAGGCCTTCCCGCACTGCTTGCACTCGTAAGGCTTCTCCCCACTGTGCGTGCGCTCATGCTTACGCACGTCGCTCCACGAGTAGAAGGCCTTCCCACACTGCTTGCACGCACAGGGCTTCACCCCGCTGTGCGTGCGCTCGTGAGACTTGACCACCCGCAGGGAGTAGAAGGCCTTCCCACACTGCTTACACTCGAAAGGCTTCTCCCCCGTGTGGATGCGCTCGTGCGCGATGCACGAGGTGGACTGGCTGAAGGTCTTGCCGCAGTGCTTGCACACGTAGGGCCGCACGCCCATGTGGATGCGCTCGTGTCTCTGGAGGTAGATGGGGGAGCTGAAGCCCTTGCCGCACTGCTCACACACGTAGCTCTTCTCCCCGCTGTGCGCGTGCACGTGCTTCTGCAGGTGGTTCAGGTAGAAGAAGCCCTTCCCACACTGCTGGCACACGTACGGCTTCTCCCCGAAGTGCGTCCGCTCGTGGATCTTGATGTAGCTGGAGGAGCTGAACGCCTTCCCACAGTACCTGCACACAAATGGCTTGGCGCCCGTGTGCGTCTGCTCGTGGCGCTGCACATCCCGCAGAGACAGGAAGTCCTTCCCGCACAGCTTGCAGATGCACAGGTTCTCGCCCGTGTGGATGCGCTCGTGCATCTTGAAGTAGCTGGCTGAGCTGAAGCCCTTGCCGCACTCCTTGCACATGTAGGGCTTCTCCCCTGCGGGAGCCCTCTCGGGCACCTCTACTGAACTGGCCGGGCCGAAGGCTGCCTCGTACTCCTTGTACGCATGTGCGGCTTCGCCATAGCCCTGAGGCGCGTACGGATTCTGCCCGGCAGCACTGGCAAAGGGCACACTCATCGAGGAAGGGTCCACAAGGACTTCCGTGTACTCACAGGCCTCGCCCGTGTCCGCGTCCACGTCCGCGTCCACTGCAGTGGGCATCTGTGTGTCGCCTGCGTCCGAGGCAGAGGCGCTGATGAAGATGTCTTCAAAGGGAATCACTTCTTTATGCTCAGAGAGTCCCTCTACCACTTCATTTCTGGAAAGAAGCAGGTGTTGGTGTTTGGTAGTTAGATCACTCACCCGAGGGGAACAAATTTTATTCCCTCAGAACTTTTTCAATCACGAAGATGTGATGGGAACAGGTTGGGCATTAGGATAACACTCCAGCCCTGGCTGCCACTCCAAACGCAAAGCAGGACGAGCATTCTCCATGCTCACGGGCGCAAGTGAGGCCAACAATATCCCCCTCCCCACGCGCCATGCATGCCCACGCCCTGGAGTAATGGCTCATAACATTCTTGAATATTCTGCGTACATGGAATAGTCTATATTAAAATATCAGAAATGACCACCATGCTAGGGTTGCTGTTTTCAGACATGGATATGTTCTTTTACTTTTTTTTTTTTTTTTGGGGGGGGGGGGGGGGGAGGTAGGTTGTGAAGCTTGGCCTGGGCGCTGTCCCTCAGCTCTTCAGCTCAAGGTGAGTGCTCTACCACTTGAGCCACAGTGCCACTTCCGGTTTTCTAGTGCTTTATTGGAGATAAGAGTCTCATGGACTTTCCTGCCTGGACTAGCTTTAAACTGCGATCCTCAGGGCTGGGAAGGTGGCTCAGTGGTAGAGCGCTTGCCTTGCATGCCTGAGGCCCTGGGTTCAATTCCTCAGCACCACATAAGCAAAAAGAAAAACAAAAGCTGGAAGTGGCGCTGTGGCTCAAGTGGTAGAATGCCCGCCTTGAGCTGAAGAGCTGAGGGACAGCGCCCAGGCCCAGAGTTCAGGCCCCATAACCGGCCCCCCCCCCAAAAAAATAAATAAATAAACTGCGATCCTCAGATCTCAGCCTCCTGAGTAGCTAGGATTACAGGTGTGAGCCACTAGCGCCTGGCTCATTCTTCTATTTTTACTATTTTTTTTTGCCAGTCCTGGGGCTTGAACTCAGGGCTTGGGTACTGTCCGAATGTCTTTTGCTCAAAGCTAGCAGTCTGATGCTTGAAACACAGCTACATTTAGTGGAGATGAAAAGTCTCAGGGTAGGGGCTGGGATGGTGGCTCAGTGACAAGAGTACTTGCCTTGCATGCATGAGTCCCTGGGTTCGATTCCTCAGCACCACATAAACAAAAAGAAAAAAGCCGGAAGTGGCACTGTGGCTCAAGTGATAGAGCGCTAGCCTTGAGCTGAAGAGCTGAGGGACAGCGCCCAGGCCCAGAGTTCAGGCCCCATGACCGGACCGCTCTTCCCCCCCCCCCCAAAAAAAGAAGAAAAGTCTCAGGGTAGCCGGGCGCCGGTGGCTCAGACCTGTAATCCTCAGGAGGCTGAGACCTGAAGATCGTGGTTCAAAGCTAGCCTGGGCAGGAAAGTCCATGAAACTCTCCATCTCCAATAAACACTCAGAAAACGGGAAGTGGTGCTGTGGCTCAAGTGGTAGAGCGCTAACCTTGAGCTGAAGAGCTGAGGGACAGCACTCTAGGCCTAAAGTTCAAACGCCACAACTGACAAAAAAAAAAAAAAAAAAAAAAGAAAGGAAGAAAAGTCTCAGGGTCTTTCTTTTTTTTTTGGGCCCGGTCGTGGGGCCTGAACTCTGGGCCTGGGCGCTGTCCCTCAGCTCTTCAGCTCAAGGTTAGCGCTCTACCACTTGAACCACAGCGCCACTTCCGGCTTTTTCCTTTTTGCTTATGTGGTACTGAGGAATCAAAACCAGGGCCTCAGGTATGCAAGGCCGCCGTCTACCACTGAGCCACCTTCCCAGCCCCAAGTCTCAGGGTCTTTCATGGGCAGGGTGGCTTCAAACTAGAACCCTCAGATCTCAGCCTTGGCAGCCAGGAGCCACGTAGTGAACCACCAGTGCTTTTAGGAGAACCGAGTCCAGTCCATTTGAACTTGAGCCTATTAACATGGTCTTGTTCTTAAATTCTACTAGGACTTTGATTCTCTGATTCTCATGAGTAAAAATTACCTTAACTCCATGGCAGGATTTTTGTACTCCTCTTCCATGTTCTGGTCTTCTTGTGTTTTTCCTAAAATGCAGTCCCAGAAAAACACGATCAATATTACATAAAGAAACGACTAGGTTCTAGACAGGCTCCAGACTCCGTTTACAGCAGCAGGGATGAGCCAGGTGCCAGGCCCTCATCTGGCAGGGGAGGGGGAGGTCCTTACCCACGGAGGCCAGGTTGCGGAAAGTCTCGCCCATCACGCTCCTGTACAGCTTCTGCTGGGCAGGGTCCAGCAGGGCCCACTCCTCCAGGGTGAAGTTGACAAACACATCATCGAAGGTCACAGACTCCTGAAAGTTCACAAGGGCATTTCAAGGAGGAAGGGTGAGATCACAGAACTGCAGATATAGACATACTTTCTAGATGTTACCATGTGGCTAAAGCACCTGCTGTCCACACTGCAGATACACAATGCTCAGTGCTGCAAAGAAAGTTATCATCACTTGTTCTGAGATAGCATTCCTGGAAATGCTCCAGCACAAAGTTGGATATTGGCTGGCATCTGGAAAGTTCTGTGAGACAGACTTCACTAGACAAATTAAGAAGTGTGACTGGATGGTCCTGGTGTATGTGAACATGCTATTTCCTCAGACTAAGGTTCCTGCAGACCAAAGCTCAAGAGTGTGTAGACTCACAAGGGAGTGCACAGCCCTGTACAGTGCTAGCTACTGGAGGCTGATGTCTGAGAAACCTGGGTTTTTGTTTTGGGGATTTTTTCTGGTTGGTCGTGGGATGTTCTCCCTGTATTCTTCAGCTCCACGATTGGAGCCACAGCACCACTTCCGGTTTTCTAGTGGTTTATTGGAGATAAGAGTGTCACGGACTTTCCTGCCCGGGCTGGCTTTGAACCAAGATCCTCAGAGCTCAGCCTCCTGAGTAGCTAGGATGATAGGCATGATCCACCGGCACCTGACTGAAACCTGGGTTTTAGACATTTTTTTCTTTCATCATAGCCAGGCCAGAAAGTCCATCTCCAAAACAACCAGCCAATAGCCAGGCTGATGGCATGGCTAAAGCAACAAGGTACCAGTTCAGCAAGTACAGACCCCAAGATGTGTGAGATATAAAACTCCTCATCAAGCCATGTGGCTCATGCCTGTAATCCTACTTAGGAGGCTGAGATCTGAGGATCACGGGTCAAAGGTAGCCCAGCAAGATAGCCCTACGACCAACCAAAAAACAAAAACAAAAAAAAAAACCACCCAGAAGTGGTACTGTGGCTCAAGAGGTAGAGCACTAGCATTGAGCACAAAGCAGCTCAGGGACAGAGTCCAGGTCCTGAGTTGAAGCCCACAACTGACCCAATTTTTTTTTTAAAGGGAAGTAGAGGTGCAGCAGTCTTTAAGGAAGCTCTGTGACACAACCCAGGTCAGGAACAGAATAAAGAGAAAGAGACAGCCATCCTGGAAGATCCCTCCCTGGGAAGGTCTCCCTTCTCTCAAGGGGGACTCTGGCCACCCCTACTACAGGAAGCCTCCAATGCCCTACTAGAATGGCCTGCCATTCATCTGGGTCAAAACAAAAGGAATTAGCTAGGTGCTGGTGGCTCACATATGTCATCCTAGCTATACAGGAAACTAAGATCTGAGGACTGCGGTTCAAAGCCTGCCCATGCAGAAAAAGTCCGTGAGACTCTCATCTCCAATTAACCACCAGATAGCCAGAAGTGGCTCTGTGGTTCAAGTGATAAAGAGCTCACCATGAGCTGTGAAGAGATCAGGAACAGCACCTAGGCCCAGAGTTTAAGCCCTTGACAAACAATAATAAAAAACAAAAATACAAAGGCCCGGTGCTGGTGGCTCACGCATACATATAATCCTAACTACTCAGAAGGCTAGGATCTGAGAATCACGGTTTAAAGCCAGCTCAGACAAGAAAGTCTGTGAGACTCTTATCTCCAATAAACCACTAGAAAATCCTAAGTGGTGCTGTGGTTCAAGCGGTAGAACGTTCATCTTAAGCTGAAGAGCTGAGGGATAGCGCCCAAGCCTAGAGTTCAAGCCCCACAGCCCACAAAAAATAGGGAGGGGAGGAATTAACCATTAGGGTTGGCTGCACAGCTCAGGTGGTAGAGCACCACCAATGAGCAAGAGTGCCAGACACCAAGTTCAAGTCCCAGTCTTGGACAAAAATGATGATGATATAATAAAATTGGGTATGACCCTCTGCAAGTCAGACCTAACTGCAGCCCTTCCTGAACACAGACTGTGAATGGTCCCACTTATCATCTACAAAATGGGGAAGGAAAGAAAGCAGGGCATTCCACAGTGAGCCAGAAGGAAGCCAGAAGGAAATGTGGGCCCCTGCCATGGGGGACGGCTGCCCACAAAGTACAACAGCCACAGCTAGAACTCTGACCCTAGGACAAGGAACAAGGGCCGCCATGTCTACAATTCCTGAAACTCCACGCCCATGCTTCTGTAAGCAGGGTTTCTGAACCCACAGGCAGTCTTCTGTAAAATGGGGTCATTGAGCCAAGAGCTGGTGTCATTTCACCTGTAATCCCAGCCTTTCGGGAGGCTGAGATCTGAAATTCAGGGTTCAAAGGCATCTGGGGCAGCAAAGTCCATGAGAGTCTTTTCTCCAATAACCAACAGAAAGGTGCAATTGGAGCTGTGGCTCTAAGGGTAGAACACTAACCTTGAATGAAAAAGCTCAGGGGCAGTGACTTCAAGGCCTAGAATCAGCACCAAAAACCAAACAAAAAACCCTTGTGAGAGTCCTTTCATAAGGGCCAGGTGCCTCTCAGGCTATGGTCAATGGAGTGTCTTGGCCCAGGAATAGCTTCCCTCTGAAACAAGCCACTGGGCATGCTCCCTGGGCTCCTGTCACAACTCAGGACCAAAAGTGCCCCCTCTAGTGGAAACAAACAAGGAAAGAAACATCTTGGTAAGGGCTGGCAGGCTGACTGCACCCACAGGCCTCCTAGCTCCTGTTAGCCCTGCTGACATTTATGGGACAGACTGAGGTCCTCTCTTCCAGAACAACAAAGGCCATAAGTGATAACAGCCGCCCCTCCCCCCATTAAAAAATTATCCCCAGGTTTGGATTACCTGAAAACATTCCAAATGACAATAGCCCAACACCGCTTCCCATCACGCAGGGCGCAGCCGGGACTCTGGTAGTCTGGTACTGACTACCACCTGCATTCCACCAAGAGGCCGCAAGTCCCAGAACCAACCATATTCAAAGACCCGAGGTTCAACTCAACTCTCAAGGATTGGTAAGGCGCAGGCCATTTCTCTTTAATGACTTGCTTGTCCATCCAGGGGCTGGTGAGCAAGCAAGGGAGGCAACTCACCTGCGACAAATCCAACAGATTGTCGGAGAGCGGAGGCAAAGATTCTTCCTGCAGCAAAGGAAGGGGGAGAAGGCAGGTTAGGGCAGGCTGTGGGCGCTGGCCGCTCCTCCAGCCAGCCAGCCACAAGGAAGCGATAGTGGATCAAGTGCACACTGAGTAAATTCCTTCTGTCCAGTGGAAGCCAAAGGGCACCTGTTCCCGTGAGCCACAGGACCCCGACTTCTTTCCCAGAGGACTGAGACAGACCCTGGTGCCCAAGGCGTTCCTGGGTGTGGTGTGGTGTGGTGCAAGGAGTTGCTTACTTTGCCCTGGGAAGGGCAACACGCGACGCTGCGGGGCTCTCTCCACCCTCCTCCAAGCCCCCAGCCCCGCACCCACCCCTACAGGTGCCAAGCACTGCAGTGGCTTTGATGTGGCTGTGAGGACCCAGCGGCAGTGGCTCCCACACCTTTGTCAACATGGGCACCCCAGGTCTACATGGGGCTCTGTCAGCCCATGGGGCCATAGCAGACGCATTACTTCGTGCGTCGGCAGGAGTCCCAGCACAAGTCCTCCTTTCTCTCACTGTCCAATGACAACTCCGCGCTCTTTTGTGATTGGCCTTGCAAAAGACACTAAGTTCCTCATTTGTTTTTAAAACACTACCTACAATCAGGGGAGCCAATGGGGAGCCTGAGCATCACCCCATCTGACATCACCTTTCAGGAACACTGAATTCTACCCACGAGGAACAGTTAAGGCCTTGCGGTGTGTCCAGTAAATGTCACGTCTCTCTTCAGGACTTAGGAAAGACCCAATTTGTACCAAAGAAAATAGAACTGGTCAGGATAGGGTTCGCTAGCCAGCTGGGTGGCGGCATTTCATTGCACCCTCTGGAAAAAGGACTCCTGAGGGCATCTCAAGTTTTTACCCATAAGATCTTCCCAACTGAGGCAATGACCACCATGGCCTCAGAAAAGCTGCTTGCCTCCATTCAGATCATTTGGCACATGCTGCCAGGAAGACCCAGGGACTGCTGCAGCGGGGGTCAGCCATCAGCCTTGGATCCCACGCAGGGATTATTCTCCAGGGGTAATGAGGCCTATCTTACCTTTCCAATCAACTGGGAGGGAAGGTGCTCTTTAGCCTAACCTCCTTGATGTGGATTATGCTCATGGAAACACCTAGATGTCCAGATCTATAATAACAATAATAATGATGATGATAGAAAACAATGCCAAAAGATGGTAGCTCCGGTGCAGGTTTTCAGTTACAGTGACCTTGGGACTGGCCAGAGCCACTGTGGGGCAGGCTGCTGTATACAGGTCAGTGCGGTAGGCCCAGGTACTCACACACCTATCTTGATCCGCTCCATACACTGACCCAACAAGGAGATTTCTTGGTAAGTCTGCTTTTACCAACTAGAAGGGCCTTAGATCTATTCACAGCTAGTGCTGGAAGCACAGGTGTATACTTGAAGGAAAAATGTTACTTTCATATTACCATAGGAAAGGTCATGAATTACATATAATTCAAGCCTCTAGTCTAGTAGACAAGGTGGATGCTATGTATGGGTGCTGGGGTTCCTTTAAAAACAAGTTCCTGAAATGGCTGTGGTCACTTTAAGCCTCTGGTCTAGTCCCCTTGCTTTGGACCACACCTGCTGCGCTCCTTACTGACTTCATCAGGTGCCAGGTCACACTCCTACAGGGCTTTCAGCCTGTGCCGAAGGGCCTGAAGTCTTCCTAAATGACATCCATCCTGTGGGACAACAGTTCAGACAGCTGGTAACAGCCCCCCCCCCCTCCTAGGGATAGAACAGGACCAGAGACTGGCTCCCAGATAGATGAGAAGGTCACATCTTCAGCCCCATCTCACCACCAAAATCGTTACAACCCGGGTGGGGCTAGCTCAGGCCTGTCACCCTAGCTACCCAGGTGGCTGAGATCTGAAGATAAGAGGTCAATGCCAGCCTGGGCAGGAAAGTCTGAGAGACTCTTATCTCCACTTAACTACCTAGAGAAGCCGGAAGTGGAGCTGTGGTTCAACTGTTAAAGAGTATTAGCCTTGAGCAAAAAAACTAAGGTTCAGTGCCCAGGCACTGAGTTCAAGCTCCAGAGTTTAGTTACAAGCAAAATAAACTCCAGCCCTATCTGCACCTCCCCCGCAAGGTACGGGGATCCTGTTTCTCCGAAGTTGGGGCAGGTTAACTGTAAGGAATGAATGCTGAAACCAAACCCATCTCCAAGCCTCCCCAACCCATGGGTTCTATCTCCTCCCTAGTACCTCCACGGTCACTCCTCCTTGGGGGTAATTAGTGATCAGTTTTCTGTTAGGACGTCTCTTCCTAGGGGTAGAAAAACTGCGGGTCAGTTCTAACCAAGCGGAGGCCCCGGCGAGGCGGAAGCCGGGCCTCGGCGCCACAAACCCCTGCGGATGCTTTCGCGCATAAGCGCTGCATCTCATACATATAATTACATCCGAGGGCAGGCGACCGGCGCAGATCCTTTCCAAAAATCTGCTTAGTCACCGGCCCGTCCTCTCCCAGGGATCAGCCCACTTCCAGGCCCGCGAGCCCCTCCCCTGCCCCCGGGAGGCCGGGGGAGGGGGGGACTGACATTTTCTGCACTGCGGGGTCTGCTCCGGAGCCGCCGGGCCCCCGGAATGGTGGGTTTTCCCAGCCAACCCTTAAGCCTGCGGGGCGCCGGCGGCTCACGCCTGTCATCCCCAAGTGCTCAGGAGACCAGATCCGAGCCCGGCAGGGAGGGCCCCGACGGGCGGGGCGGGGTGCGCGGCGGTGAAGCCCGGGGACCTTTTCCTTTTCTTCGTGAGTCGTCGGTGAACCGCCGAAAAGCAGCGAGTGGAGCCCTGGCGCAAGGGGCCGAACACCAGCCTGGAGCGGGAAGGCGCGGAGGCGGCGCCCAGGCCGCGAGTTCGAGCCCCAGGCCCCGCGCACGGCCCTTCTGCGTCTGCGGTTCCACCCTGGGTGGGATCGCGCCGCCCCCAGAAGCTGGGGTGGCATCTGGGGGACGGCTGGGGGGTCCCCACGCTGGGGCGGGGCCCCCAGGTCGCGGGGGGCCCCACGCTGGGGGGTCCCCCACACACGCTGGGGGGTCCCCCAAGGTCGCGGAGATCTCCGCGCTGGGGGGTCCCCCAAGGTCGCGGGGGTCCCCACACACGCTGGGGGGTCCCCCAAGGTCGCGGGGGTCCCCACGCTGGGGGGTCCCTCAGGTCAGGGCGGGCCGCAGGCGCTCGGCCGGGCCTCCCCGCGCCGCCCGGCCCCGCCGCGCCGCGGCACCGGGGCCCCGGCCTCCCGCCCGCAGGCCGCGCCGGCTCCGGGCCCCGAGCTCCCGCCCGCAGGCCGCGCCGGCTCCGGGCCCCGATTCCCGAGCTCCCGCCCGCAGGCCGCCCCCGCTCCGGGCCCCGCAGGCCGCCCCCGCTCCGGGCCCCGCAGGCCGCCAGCCGCGCGGGCCGCGAGCCCGGGCTGCGGAAGCCCCGGCCGGCGCCCAGCGCAGCCGCTTCCGGCCGGCTCCAACGGCCAAGCTTGCCGCACTCTGGGCGCCGCCGGACCCTGCACTCACCATGTCGTCAGTCCGGGTGTCCCAGCGCCCTCCCAACGGGGCCCCCCGCGAGCCTTTCACCTCAAACCACCACGGAAATCGAGCCGACCGGGGAGGCCGCGCGACCACCGTCGTCGGGACGAGAAAATGGCGGCGGCCGAAGGGAAGATCCACCCACGTGGGACCGCCCCTTCCTCTTACAGGCGGCGCCGATTGGACGGGGTTACAGGATCGTTGCTTCCTCTGATTGGCTTCTGCGGTATGAGTGACAGGCGAGGCGCCCCGCCCCCGCACTTCCGGACGGAGAAGAGGGAAGTGACACCCTTTACGCCCATGGCCACCCCCTCACCCCCGCGCGCCTGACGACTTCTGCGAGTGCAGAATCGGATCCGCCTGGTGTAACTGCGCTTCCTCCTGGCTTTCCAGAGTCAAAGGGAGACTCCTCCTCTAACCACTGGTTTCTTCTTGCTTCTTCCTTCCGTAGCTGCGATCACAGATTCTGCCCCGGAATTCAGACTCTGTCCCCACCCCACCCCCATAGGGCCCAACGCAGGCCGCAGGGAAGAAGGGGGCCTTGGCACCCCCCCCACACACACCTCACCCCGGCCACTGCAAGGGCAGCGATGATCTGATACAGGAACTTGAGAGGAAGCAGTTGGTTTGGGGGCCAAGGCTTTCTCATACTTTTTTCTCTTCAATTCCTTCATTTTCGGTCAAGAAAATCTGAAAACCTTCAAACAAAAGAATAGTTGTGGTTTGGGGGGGGGGGGGGAAGAGTGAGGTTGTTTTTGGCCAGTCCTGGGGCTTGAACTCAGGGCCTGGGTGCTGTTCAATTGGAGATAAGAGTTTTAAAGAGGACTGGGAAGGTGGCTGAGTGGTAGAGTGCTAGTCTTGAGCAAAAGAAGCTCAGGAACAGTGCCCAAGCCCTGAGTTCAAGCCCCAGGACTGGCAAAAAAAAAAAAAAAAGTCAGATTTTTCCTGCCCAGGCTGGCTTTGAACTGCAGTCCTCAGATCTCAGTCTCCTTGGTGAAGTAAGGAAGTCAGGTCTGGCCGGCGCCATATAGGCCACAGGGTGGACGATAGGATCTAGCATTTTGTCTTCATGCTGGTGGAAGAAAACCCCTTGCCCATCACCAGCCTCCCAGGTGATGGGTGTGCCCGGATCCCTGGAGTCAGGGGCGGGCACTTGGCTGATAGGTTACTGAATCTGTCAGTCCAGTGCCTGGGACTGGAAATTTCCTGTGGCTCTGTCCCCTGTGCCAACCCTGTTTTAGGCCCGGACCAGCCTAGCTGCCATTATCCCATGCCACATGTGTCTCCGTGACCCTGTGTCCTGTCTCCAGTCATCGTGGCTTCCCAATCCAGCTCTCCACTGGCGCTGAATTGGCTTGTTAGTTTTGTTTTTGTTCTCTTTCCTTTGTAGTCTGTTTCCTAACTGGGTTAAGTGTGTTTGGGGCTGCAAGCACTTTTTACAATGGGTGGCCTACAGCCTGCTAACTGTATAATGAAGACTCGAACATTTTACATTTCAAAATATGGCATCTGAGATGATTCACCTTACAACATTAACAGCTAGGGTTACAGAAAAGGGCCACCAGTGCCCAGCAAGAATAGAGTTATTGGGCTGGGAAGGTGGCTCAGTGGTAGAGCGCTTGCCTTGCATGCCTGAGGCCCTGGGTTCGATTCCGCAGCACCACATAAGAATAAAGAAAAAAGCCAGAAGTGGCGCGTGGCTCAAGTGGTAGAGCGCTAGCCTTGAGCTGAAGAGCTGAGGGACAGCGCCCAGGCCCAGAGTTCAGGCCCCACAACCAGACCCAAAAAAAAGAAAAAAGAAAAAAAAAAGAATAGAGTTATTAAATGCACTGAAACCTAGGGTTATGGGCTGGAAAGGTGGCTCAGTGGTAGAGTGTTTGCCTCACATGTATGAAGCCGTGGGTTCGACTCCTCAGCACCACATAAACAGAAAAGCCAGAAGTGGCGTTGGGGGTCAAGTGGTAGAATGCTAGCCTTGAGCTAAATGGCTAAAGAGCTGAGGGACAGCGCCCAGGCCCAGAGTTCAAGCCTCATGATTGACACAAAAAAAAAAAAAAAACAAAAACTAGGGTTGCCGGGCGCTGGTGGCTCACGCCTGTAATACTAGCTAGTCAGGAGGCTGGGATCTGAGGATCACGGTTCAAAGCCAGACTGGCAGGAAACTCCGTGAGACTCTTACCTCTTAACCACTAGAAAACCGAAGTGGCGCTGTGGGTCAAGTGGTAGAGCGTTTGCCTTGAGCTAAGAGCTCAGGGACAGCGCCCAAGCCCAGAGTTCAAGCCCATGACCGACAAAAAAAAAAAAAAAAAAGAAAAGAAACCTAGGGTTATATGTTGGTCAACAGGCTAGGAATGTATCTTAGTGGTAGAGTGCTTGCCTAGCATGCATGAAGCCCTGGATTTGATTCCCCAGTACCACACAAACAGAAAAGGCCAGAAGTGGCACTGTGGCTCAAGTGGTAGAGCGCTAGCCTTGAGCAAAAGTAGCTCAGGGACAGTGCTCAGACCCTGAGTTCAGACCCCAATACTACACACACACACACACACACACACACACACACACACAAACACACACACACACACCAAACCGTATTCTCAAGCTTTAGACAGTTGCTACTTCAAATGAGATCCCACAGAGACCACAGAGCCTTAGGTGCTGGGAATTAAAATCTGGGAGCTTGCTATACCATACTGGCCCCCTTCTTGATATGGACTAAAAAGGAACTTCTCTGGGATTAGTGCAGGGTTCTAACCTAAAGAAAAACCTCTAGGGCTAGGAAGGTGGCTCAGTGGTAGAGCGCTTGCCTTGCATGCCTGAGGCCCTAGGTTCGACTCCTCAGCACCATATAAGCAAAAAGAAAAAAGCCGAAAGTGGTGCTGTAGCTCAAGTGGCAGAGCGCTAGCCTTGAGCTGAAGAGCTGAGGGACAGCACCCAGGCCCAGAGTTCAGGCCCCACAACCGTACACCAAAAAAAAAAAAAGAAAAGAGAAAAAAACCCCACTATTTCAAAAACCATTTCACCGGCTGGGAATGTGGCTCAGCGGTAGAGCACTTGCCTCGCACGAATGAGGCCCTGGGTTCGATTCCTCAGCACCACATAAGCAGAAAAAGCCAGAAGTGGCACTGTGGCTCACGTGGTAGAGCACTAGCCTTGAGCTGAAGAGCTGAGGGACAGCGCCCAGGCCCATGACTAACGCCCCCCCCAAAAAAAAAACAACCACCATTTCACCAGTAGACAACCTAGGCAAATTCTCTCTCTCTCTCTCTCTGACCACAGAGTTTCTTCCATGCGTAGAAGTTACAGGTTAACTCTAGCAACTCCTTGTGTGTCCAAACCAAATTACTCTCCAGAAAGGAGCCTTTCCTGTCCCCGAGTTACAACCAAAGCTGTACAGAGCCTCCAAGTGTGTGTGTGCAAAGCTTGCTTCCCTAATGGTGCGCCGATATTTCCCACTGTTCTGATGAACACAACAACCACAGCAACAGTGCGACTCCCTTTGGAGGCTCTGTTAGAGGATTGTAGACTTTGCCAGAAAACCACACAGACATCCAGGTACAGGGAATAAAGAAAGGTTTATGGCCGGGAAAGGGGCCTGTAAGACTCCTTCTCACATGGAGAAGTGAGAAGAAGGGAGGATGGCTATTGTCTGAGCTGACCTGTGCAGCCTAGGGTGCTGGGAGGGGCTGGGAGGGGCTGGGAGGCAGAGACCTGCCGTGGATGTGTGGGCCAGAGGCTTCATCATGGGGGACTAGAATTTTATGGCTGCTGCCCAAATAGAAGATAAGGGTCCTGCCGCTGCCCAGACCTGACGCTCACTCTAAGGGGCTCTGGCTGCCTTCTATGGTGCAGCTGCCCCACAGCAGTGCCCTCCCAAGGCAGAGGGGGCTGGAGGCTGATTCTTCACTGCCTTTGCTACATGGGCCTAGGAAGGGAAGGAAGAGGGGAAGGAAGAGGAAAGGAAGGAGAGGGGAAGGAGCATGCTAAGCTATGGGAAGGGAGCTCACTGAGCTAACAGGCTCACAATGAGCTCATTTTTGCAGTGTTCACAACAGGCCGTGGCCTCCAGCTCCAGGTTATTCATCTGCTTCAAACAAGTGTTGGTAAGTGTATCCAGACAGAAATGTCGCTGGGGACCAGTGGTTCACACCTGTGATCCTGGCTACTCAGGAGGCTGAGATCAGAAGATCGTGGTTCAGAGCCAGCTTGAGTAGACTGGTACACACACACACACACGCACACACACACGTACACGTACACATATTTGGGTTGGGACTATGGCTCAGTGGTAGAGTACTTGCCTAGCATGCATGAAGCCCTGGGTTCAATTCCTCAGCACCACATACACCAAAAAAGCTGGAAGTGGCACTGTGGCGCAAGTGGTAGAATGCTAGCCTTAAGCAAAAGAAGCTCAGGGACAGTGCCCAGGCCCTGAGTTCAATCCCCAGGACTGGCAAAAATAAATAACAAAAAATTTTATATATATTTTGTTTTGCTGACCCTCTGATCTTTTTTTTTTTTTTTTTTGGTCAGTTGTAGGGCTCGACCTCAGGAACTGGGTCCCGTCCCTGATCCTCTTTGTGTTCAAGGCTAGCACTCTACCACTTAAGCCACAGCACCACTTCCAGCTTTTTCTGTGTATGTGGTACTGAGGAATTGAACCCAGGGTATCATACTTTCAGTTTTTGAGTGATCAGTTGGAGCTAAGAGTCTCACATGGACTATCATGCCTGGTCTGGCTTCGAACTGAGATCCTCAGATCTCTGCCTCCTGTGTAGCTAGGATTACAGGTGTGAGCCACCAGTGCCTGGTTGGGTTTAGTCATTTATAATAACCTCCAAGTATGCTGTGTCCCGAGATTTCCATGTCACATTTGCCCGTGTAAAGCCCTCCTATTCCTGAGTTTGAGCCCCAATACTTGCAAGGAAGAGGCAGGGCTCGGCTGTGTGGGACCTGGCCTCCAGTGACTGAGGGCCCAAAGGAGGGTCTTGGGAAGTCCCTCAGCCCCTCAGCCTCAGGAATATTCACTCCACAGAACCGGGTGCAGGCACGTGTCCACAATGTTGGATTTGGATCTTTTCCTGAGCAACACATCTCCTCTCCAGTACTCCCCCCATTTG